CCCCAAAACCCCAAAACCCCAAAACCCCAGAATATATAATAAACTGAAAATTTAAGTTTATTTGAAATTAGTAATCTAATCATTTATTAAGACTATTTCTAATGTGATAGTATTCTGAAATCAGATATTGATCAATTGCATCTAGCTTTATTTTAAATTTTAACTTGTATTAAACTCTAGATATAGTCAAGGCTTCATTTAATTTGGGCAAAATTATAGAAACTAGGTAATATCTTGTATTGAGCCTTCCATTATAGTTCACATAAAAATCTGTTTTATAGCATTAGAACTTTTAATTAATCAACTATCTTGCGTAATCCTAGTTTTGATATTTTAGCTTTTCCATTCTATAAACTAATGAACAATAATCGTTGGTATTCCATAGCAATTTCAGTTTAAAATCTCGAGGCATTTTCTTGCTAACTAAGATCTTAACTAGCATTGGTTTGTTATTTTGATAACTTAGGACTAGAAGCTTTTGCAAGAATATATTATCTATATAATAATCGAACCTCTTTTTCTTCCTCTTTCTTGATATTTTCTTGTTCTCTTTATACAATTTTTTGGCTAATATTTCTTATTTTTTGATTTATTCTTTCCTTAATTTCTCTGCTTTTTCTCTTATTAACACTTCACTATAAGATTCAAAACCTGAGATCAAGTTTTTTTAAGAATGATTATCAGCAAAATTATGCTCATCCTTTGTTAGATTATATTCCTAAAGCTAAACGAAATCTCCTACCAGTTCTGACATTTATTGTTATTTTAATTCTAATACTTAGCCAAAGCCTTCATCATCATTTCTTGATCTATTTTAAGAATTTTCAATAGGAACTTCCTCTTGCTAATTTTTCTAAATTTTACTCTATTCTTCAATTAATTTAACCATCTCCATAAATACTTTATATTCTTTAGTCTCTAATAGTTCTTATTTCTATTTCTTTCTGAATAAATTTACTAACAGAGGTTCAAGCACGTCTAGCTTTTGAAGGCTTTTAAACTAAAGAGCGAGCTTGATTGCATTTTTTATTTTTTATTTAGATATCAGAAAGTACAAAGATGTTTATAAATCCATTACCTCATAAGATGTGTAAATTAGTTTTCCATCTTGAGTTCTCTGTCCTAAAAGGGAAATATTCATGCTTTCATTATCATAGTAATAGAACTTGTATTGATTTTCATTGCTTATTAGTTTTTCATAAGTCAACAGTTTATTTGAAGAAGTATTGATTAATACCAAACTATCTGACGGATTTATAGAGATCACAGAATGCTCTTGTATCATCAAAAGATGTCCAAAGTTGATGTTTTAAATCTTTTTGCTCTTGTACGTAGTATTGAATAAACTTTAAAACTATACTGAATCGAAATGCTGTAATGTAGAATTAGGCTAAGATACAATAAATTTAAGTTGCTTATAGTCTACACATGATCCCCAATTGTGATGAAATGTCTAATCAATACCTCCATTTAATGTACTTAGTTTGTTATCTTTCAAGTTGTAAACTAAATTAGCACATTTTTAAGTTGAAATCGTTATTAATTTCATATTTTCACAAAGAATACTTTGACTTATGGTTCCATGAATTTAATTGATAGATACTTGAAGCTAAAGTAATTTGCCTTAGAATAGGGATATATAGTATTCTTACTATATTAACAGAAAACTTTGGTGTTTACTTATCATGCTTATTTTTTCTCATTAGTCTAAAACAATAAAAGTTGAAACAAGATTCTTCTATCTTAAATCTAGTTGATAAATATGGCCTATTGATGTCCCTATTAATAGAGTTTATTCACTGATCTCTTTGAAGCAGCTAGGATACTGATCAAATTCTCCACTAGGAGGTAAAGTAATAAATTATTCTATTTTTTCTAAATCCATTCCAGCTATTATTATATTTCCTACATTAGTGCCCATATAGAGACTATCATTTACAACACTGAAACATGAAATCGTTGACAAACTTATTTTCAGCTTTTCATCCGCTATTATTACATCACTGTTTTGCTTGATCTAATATGCTGATTCCAGTTATAGCTGATTCTTTTCCAGATAACTTGAGAATTATTCCATTAAATTGAGACTTATAATTTTAATAATTTTAAAATGATTTTTGCCTTATTTCTTCTTAAAGTGAATCAGTTAAATTAATGATATTAATGCTTTTTAATTTACTATTTACTCCATTTGCATCAATTATATTTGAATCGCATTATTCTTCTTTAAATTAATAATTCTTCGTAAAAAGATAATGTTTGGAAATACACCAAGCCCTAGAAATTTCCAGAACTCAAAGGGATTCAACAGATCTCAATTAACAAATGTTTAGAAGAACTTAAACAATCAGTATTAAATTATGGTATAGGATGATAAATCTCCATTAAAGACAAATCAAAAGTTACTACCTGATTTGTAGCAATAGTAAAAAAAGTTAAGTCAAACGAAACCTAATTCCCCCATTGGAGGAGGTTCCCAGAGTGAATTTTCTAAGCACATTAAGTAAACAGTGAATCAAAAGCTCGTGAATTAGATCATGATGAGTTTCGATTAAGAAGAGAAGCGAAATGCGTTGTCATAGAAACTTATGAATAAAACATAGTTAAGATAACCTAAACTGCCAATCCTTACAGAAAAAGAATAGATCTAAGCTGACTAACTATTCAAGAGAAAGCTAGAAGAATACACTGAAGATTTCATATAAAAAAGAATACTCCAAAATAAGAGAATTTAAAAGGTCATGGAGGAAACTTCAAATCAGATTGAGCGAATTATCATCTAAGACTTAAATAGTGGAGAAAATTCAAGGAATAATAGGAATTAAAAATTGATGAAAAGCTAAATAGGTTTCAACAATTAAGAGTCAAGGATGCTGAGTAATGATGATTAAATCAAAATAAATATGAGTTTCGACCTTAATGATAAAATAAACGATGGTGTAAACTTAAAGAAGATGGTTTCAGTTAAACATGGGCAATCATTTCATAGGAAAGATACAATTAAAAATCCATCATAACTCCTATCATAGCTTGAAGAAAGCTTTTATCGATAAGTTTATAATCATTCTCCTGTAAGAGGATCTAGTCCGCAGAAGATAGAAAACTTCAATATTGCAAGAGAAAATTTTACCAAGATAAATTCTATAATCGATCACTTACAACCGACATAGGATATCTAGGAACAAGAATAAAACGAATATAATGAAGCACTCTAAAGTTAAGAGGAAACTAAATAGCTAGTGAAAAATCATGGTAAAAAGCTTAGAAATTTGTTAGAAAAATGGTGTGAATCTGATGATTATAAGAATGCTTTGGATGATCCTAGATTAGATAAATATCGATATGAAACATGGGGAGAGTTAATAGATTTCGAATAAAAATTGCAAGAAGAAATGATGAAGTTTAGGACTAATACTGAAAAGATAAAATACTTATGCTATAATAAAGTAGATTCCATAAAATATACAGCTAGTGCATACATAGAATCACTAGAACAAGCATTGAACGAGAATAAATTGCAATAAATGCAGAAGATTGAAAGACTTTAAATGGCTATTGAAGAACATGAAAGTAGAGCATTTAATGTCTTAGATGATAATGATTTTATGAAATCAGCGCTAGAAGTTGAAAAAGAGATCCTAGATACTAAAGATATTACATCTTACAGAGCAGCAATGACATAAATCACTTGATTAAAGGCAGTTCTTGAAAAACTCCACAAAGATTATGTTAAAATGGTCTCTCAAAGTAAGACACTATTTGATGACCTCTCTTAATTCAAGGACTAGAATGAAAAACTTACGAAAGAACTTTCTGATTAAAAAGGTATCACTGCAAACTTAATAGATATTTTATCAAATGTGTGTAAGATAATAGTTCTATACAAAGATGATGAAGTCAGTAAAATTTGTAGAAAGACTATCGATGCTTGTGATATCAAATAAAAAGAAAAGCTTCCATCCCTAGTAAATTAATTCATAGCTTTTATGAGAATGTATCCAGTTTAAGACTTAGTAACTCCAGCACGTAAAGAAATAGAACAGCTTAAGCAAATGCTATATGTAATTATTGATTATCTTAATAACACGGGCCAAATAATTAAGTTTTGGATTCCATAATTTGAAGACACAGATGAGTAATATAGAACTACTATAGAGGGTTGGCATAAAAACTATTTAGTAACTGTCTTTGAGAATGAGACTCTTTAGTTTATGCAAAGGTTTAGACCTCCTAATTTGGATTTGCCTAATAAGTTTGCTACACCATAGCATGTTACTGACAGGATAAAGTAATAAAAGCAGAGAGAGTAGATTTAATTGGAAGCAGAATTGCTCTTAAATGATGCAGATTTTACTTCTAGAGATTAGTTAAAATCAAATGATGGTAAAAGTTAGACATTCTTGACTGATAAGTAAAGTTAAAATGATCTAGCTGATGAAAAGTCTCAAAGATCTTAAAGAGGCTTGAATTAAAGCAATCTAAATTCAAGTTAAGTTACTTTACCAACCAATGCTAACAATTTATAGAGCAGCAACTAAAAAGATCTATCAGCTAGAAATCATATTAATAAATAGTCTTCAAATGTCACATAAAACCCCAAAGAGAAAGAAGGAAAATCTAAAGGAGATAAAGAGTAAGGTGTTAAAAAATAAAATAGTAAGAAAAAAAATAAAAATAGTTCAAAGAATTCTAATCCAAATAACCTTGGGCCTAATTCCAATAATCTTGAACCATCTTCAAACAAGAAAAAATTAACGAGAGAAAATAGTAAGACAAATATTGATATTTCTTAAGTAGTGGGTAAAGACAAGTCGTTAAAAAGCCCCAGTTCTCCTGTTTAAATGTACCTTACTCAGATTAAGTTTCCCTTAGATATAATCTATAGATTATGTGAAAATGTACATTAAAAGCTGGATTCAAATATATTAGACAAGATAACTATGAATTATAAAAACAAAAGAGCTGAGTAGGAAAAATTAAATAAGAAAATAGAGGAAAATCTAACAGAATAAGAATAGAAATTTTATCAATAAATCATTTCTAATTAGCCAAAAAATACCTAATTCATAGATGCATCTAATCTCATCAAGATACTTAACGAGGTCTCAAGTTCATATTTTGATGAGTGCATACAAAAACAATACAATGATCCTGAAAATCAAAAATCTTTGCCAGATCTATTTCGATTATTAAGTTGCATTTCATTTAAAGAAAAGGGCTTCTGTATTAAGCATGACAAAGCAATTGAATTTTTGGCATCTCCCAAAGCAGATGGATATACTATTTGCCAATTATTTAAGATTATAATCAGGCTAAATACTTTTTTCATTATTGATAAGCCTCTAAATATGGAACTAGATAGCTCTTTTGAAGCTTATAGGCAGCAAGTAATAGACTAGTTTTTTGCTCCAAATAGTATTTAGATTCGAATTTTATTTAAAATGAACAAGATTAGAGATTTTTTCAATGAAAAATTTGAAAAAGATAATTCAATAGGGGAAGATTATTTTAAGTTTAATCCTTCGAAACTAAAAACAACTGATATTTATGAGATACTTAATCTACCCTTTTATAAAGAAGGCATTAATGAGATATCAATCATTCAAGCACTCTCAACTTACACTGCAAACCTTAAAAATCTAAATAATCGGGATAATTTTGATCTAGCTTGCGATCTTGTCAAGTATAAATTTTCAGAACCTAATAAAATCTTCGATGAATATAATAAAAAAACTCAAAAATTAAACTTACCTTTATAACCTTCAAGTTTATTATCTGAGGGAATGTAGTAAGCACTGGGAAATGGAGATAATACACCTTAAGAGTTTTAGCATAATTTTATAAGAGCTTTGAGAAACATAAACTAGCATATCCAAACTTAGAATAAGAATAGTGGCATTGGAAATTAAAATCTAACAGATGAATTAATTCAAAGTGAAATTGTGAATCTCTTATCACACAGATCAAGTTATACAAACATGCTAGATCAAAATAAAAGTGTTTTTAGTTCAAGTGATTTAGGTGGTCAACCTGGAATTGGTAATAATAAAGCTTACTAAGGTATTGATCCTCTAAATTACAAAGAAAAAGAACTAACAAAAGTTGAGATTATTAGACAAGAGACAATTAAGACAATTAAAGTTCTTTAGGATTTTGTGAAAAAATCTGTCACAAAGCCAAACAGAGCTACAATTAAGTAAAGATAATCAAGTTTAATAAAGCTAAATTCTCTTTAATCTTTCACAGAATAAATGAATCTCTAGCAAGAACATTCGAATATATCCCCTTTAAAAGGCAGAAACAATAGCGGTAGAAAGAAGCGCAACTCAACACATTCATTAACTATTGAGGAGTCTTCGGAAAGGTCATCAACAGATTAAATGGAAGTCTTGATTAGATATACTAATGGTTAAAAGAGTACTCATAGTAAAATTTCCTAAAATAGATCTAAGATGTCTAAACACTCTAAAATGTCTAAATTTGACAATAATGATAGGAGTATTACTGATAATTCAAAGTCTTTAAATAAAAGTTATGTTGGAAATATCACTCCTATTAGTAAAGTTGTCTCTAATCCTTCTTAATACCTTAAGAATAATAATAGCTATAAAAATGAGTCACCTAATAAGAGAGTTGAGATTCAAAGTGATAAAGTAGATCCTATGAAAGGAGCAGAAAAAAGATTAAGTTTAAAAATTCAAGTTTAATAAAGAGAAAAATCGAGGGATATTGAAAGACCAAAAGGATCTAAGAATGAGAATAGAGGAAATAAATCAGTGAAAAATGATGATAAATCTTCCAAGGATGAAGATGAAGAATAAGTGGAAGAAGATGATGAGTTTAAAGGTAATAATATAAGTTTTAATTAAAATCCTATAGACTTTTAAACTTAGAAGGAAAAAGAATTGTTTGGAGCTGCCAAAAAACAACTCAGAGAACTTGATAACACACTCTATATAAAGCGAATGAAGAAATTTGATGAAGAGATTGAGAAATTAAGAAGCATTTTCAAGTAAAATTAAGGATAAGTTAACTCAACATTATTAATACCAAAGAACAGGAAGTTAAGGAACAGTTAGAAAAATCCTCTAGCTAGTCCAAATGATCTCTTTAAAGCAAATATAATAGAATTGAACCATAGAATGACCTAGATTGAGAACAGTCAAAGATCTAAAAAACCTAGGATGACTGTAGGTCCATAGATCAACTTTATAAATACGAACATAAATGTAGATAACTCATTCATTCCTGATATATTTGTGAGAAAAATAGAAAATTCTAGTTTTATGACTCAAAAGCACGCTGGAAAAAGAGATTTATCGTTTGCTAATCCAATAAATTAAAATACAAAGCTATTTGAGAAGAATTTAAAAGATGCCAGAAATCGGATTGTTGGCAGCCAGCAATCTAAAGAGTAAAGAATGATTAGAATCTTTGGCTAGTTTTCTCAACCTAATTCACCTTCCCCCTCACCTTAAACTAACTAACACATTAGTTTTGATAATCAGGATCCTCATGATTAAACAGCTAGATTTACATTTAAGCAGTAGAACACAACTCTATACGGTAATGTGTCAACAACCAATTCTGTAATAATTCCGGAGGGATTAAAATAAAAATATCTCAAAAGAGAGCCTTAAACTGAAAAGCATAATCTTTCTCATAATTAAAATCTTGACTTGCCAATTGTTGATGAAAAATGAGCAAATCATATTCTATTTCAGAATAATTTCATATTCCTCTAAGCATAAATTGATCAAATTAGCAAAATTAAAAATATAATTAATTTCATGACTTCATACAAATTAATGGGGTTTTGGGGTTTTGGGGTTTTGGGG